AAGAAGTTGTCATCTACGCTTTGAGTTACATGAAAAATGTCTCCAAAGTTTTCGAGGAGACTGACAAGAGGTTAGGAAAAATAATATTTTTTACTCGATCATATATCTTACAACAATTTATATGCTTATGTGGTAGACAAACCCTACAATTTTTCATATCCCCACTAGATATATCCTACAATTTTTCATATCCCCACTAGATATATCCTACAATTTTTCATATCCTCACTAGACATATCCTACAATTCTTCATATCCTCACTAGATATATCCTACAATTTTTCATATCTACAGAATCGTTGCTAATTACATGATGTGGCATGTCGTCATCACGTACTCCTCCYTGCTGTCCTCKGAGTTTAGAGCCCTATTCGAYCGACACAGACAGACATCCTTTGGAACAAAAGGCAAAGACCCACGTTGGCAGACTTGTATGGGAAGTGTACAGGATGCTTTTGGCATGGCTATAGGACTTCTCTTTATTGACAAACAGTTTAGTGGAGAAAGCAAAACGTCGGTAGGTAGACGGTACAATGCGATACGATATGCCGATTCGATAAAGTACGATCTAATGCTATACAATTGAGGATGCTTTTGGCATGGCTATGAGACCTGTCTTTATTGAGAAATAGTTTAGTGCATAAAGCAAAACTTCGGTAAGCTGGAGGTACAATTCGATACGATTTGATTCGATAAAGTACGATTTAATGCGATACGATTCAGATTGCGTTTGCCATGGGCAATTATATTTCGTGCCTCAGCATGTTTCTAAAGTCTCAATACCTTGAAATAGTCGTCAAATAAATTCGTGTAACACGTGCCGCGCAAAGCATCCAGGGCAATACGAGGTCTTTAAACTAGTATAACGYTTTGTAGGCTGAGGATATGATACGAGCCATTAGGAAAGTCTTTATCAACAACCTCGTGGACATTGAATGGATGGACCGGGAAACCAAGAATGCAGCCGAAGAGAAGGTATTTGTCAATCAGTTAGCCTTGGGGGGAAAGTCGGGGGGGGGGGGGGGGGGGGGGGGGCGATAGGCATTATAACTTTCTTCTAGATGTTTTAACGGCTCTGAAATGCTTAATTTAAAATGACTTTTCACAGGTGTTGTTGCGGGCGGGTTAGAAAACCTTTTTTTAGGAAGGGGGACAGTGTGGGGSAAGAAATATCTGTAATTGAAATGCTTTCCCGTGAGCCTCTTTGAGGGCMTCTTTGACTATTTTTTATTGATATTATTATTATTGTATATTAGGCCCAAGCGATAAGGGAGAATATTGGATACCCTAACTACATCACAAATGCAACTGCTCTGGCGGAGAAATACAAAGGCGTATGTATTGTGAATTAATATTAAATTCTTAAATGAGCATAATTTTGTACTATTTGACGGATAAAAAGCGTCTACTCTAGAGRTTTGCCGGAATTTGTTTGATGCGATTTTAATTTGATTGAACATGTTTAGATTTAACAATCATTGATGTATTTATGATTATTTTTCAGTTCGATGTTACCAACTCAACTTATTTTGATAACAACTTCAATAAACGTAAATTTAACAACATGAAAAATTATCAGGACATTGGGAAACCTGTCGATAAAAAGACGTAAGTCGGTATATATTGATGCTTGTGCTTGCGCTTGTGTTTGTGCTGACACAGAATCTAATTATTTTTGTTTTAATTTAGTTGGTCCATGATACCCCCTACAGTAAACGCGTACTACTCGTCAACTGACAACAAAATCGGTAACTCGTGCGATATATACTACACTTTTTCATAGTCATGTTATATATTCTACAATTTTTCATATTATCATGTTATATATCCTACACGTTTCCATATCCTCATGTAATATATCCTACAATTTTTCATATCATCATATATTATATCCTACAATTTTTCATATCATCATGTTATATCCTACACTTTTTCATATGCTCATGAATATATCCTACAATTTTTCATATCATCATATATTATATCCTACAATTTTTCATATCACCATGTTATATATCCTACAACTTTCATATCATCATGTTATGTATCCTACACTTTTTCATATCCTCATGTGATATATTCTACAATTTTTCAAATCATCATTTATTATATCCTACAATTTTTCATGTCATTATGTAATATATCCTACAATTTGTCATATTCTCATGTGATATATCCTACAATTTTTCATGATATCTTCTTATGTACAGAATCGTTGCTATATTATTATTATTTATAATAATCACAAAAAGTGATTAACTAACTGTCGATGTATTTTAACTTCGTGTCAGTGTTCCCTGCTGGTATCCTTCAAGATCCTTTCTATGACCAATCTCATCCAAAGTAAGTTGCATGAGTTTTAAATGTTCAAAGTAGCAGTGTTAAATATGTTTTCTTTGAATAGATCTCTTAACTACGGTGGCATTGGAATGGTTGTTGGCCACGAGATAAGTCATGGYTTTGATGATAATGGTAAGAAACGTATTGTAATAGTCAACTTTAGATATTTTGGTTCGATGACTATGTGAAAATAACTAAAATAATTCAGCAAAATCACAGTAAAATATAAATCCAGTCTAAGCAAAGATACTTTAATGTATTTAGGTGTAGATAGTCTTCCTTTTTACCAAATTCAGTTGACAATTAATAAAGCTTCTTCGCCGCTCGGCATAGTATACAATCGACTGGGCACTTAGATTTTTCACGTCTCTGGACAGGCTCCCGGACAGAATTGTCACGAAAAATTATATGTCCGGGAGTCAAAATCACAGTAAAATGTAAATCCAGTCTAATCAAAGATACTTTACTGTATTTAGGTGCAGATAGTCTTCCTTTTGACCAAATTCAGTTGACAATTTAAAGTTTCTTCGCCGCTCGGCATAGTATACAATCGACTTGGCACTTAGATTTTTCACGTCTCTACATATTTATGTATAATTGATTATTTATGATTATGATATTTAGGTCGAAAATTCAACAAGGACGGCAACCTGGTCAGGTGGTGGAGYAACACTTCCATCGCAAAGTTTGAAGAACGAACAAAATGCCTAGTCAATCAGTATGCGAAATTCTCGTTCCATGGCAAAAATGTAAGCACGCGAATGTGWTCGATTCTCTGACAACTGCATGTGAAACAGTCAAAAGGGCCACTGATAAAAAAACCGCCATCCTTTGCGTGCTTTTCTTTATATTTTGAAAATTAAATTACATCGTAATCTTAACAAAAACCTTCTCTGTAATGCCAAATGTTTGGCTAAATATTGTGCGATTTCCTCTTATCACCGACGGATGTTTTTTGTAGTCAAACAAAAATRGAAGATTCTCCGTATGAGATAAATTTAAGTCATGACCGCATTGCATGCCTGTTAGCGRTGGCTCTTTGAGTTTGACAACGAGACCTAGGGTGCTTTCCATTTAGGCAGAACTGGCCGGCCAGTCCACTCTATTTAGAGGTATATTATRCTTTTTGTCAACATTTTTCAGTCATTTTGAGGTTTTCTGTATAATGAATGGATGGAATTTGAAAATTTGAATTTCCTAACTAAATGGGAATGATATATAATGACATTTTCTCTGGGTCTGGACAGTCAGTTCCAGTGACAAATGGAAAGTGCACCTAATTTACCGTTTATACTTATAATGGCTAATTTCCCTCGTATGTTTGTATTGATTTAGTTAAATGGGCAACAGACATTGGGAGAAAATATTGCCGATAATGGTGGTATCAAGCAGGCGTTCCAGGTATAAATGATCATAAAACCTCAGGGAGCGTGTGATCGACGTTTTAATGTTGAGGTGGTGGGTGTGTGAATGGCCAGAAAAACTCACTTTGGAGGGGAGAGGAGGGRTTTCGTGTTGAAATTCTTAATTTCATCGACCTCTTTCATATAAATGTCCGCAGGCTTACCAACAATGGAAAAAAGATAATGGTGAAGAGCCAGCGCTTCCTGGAGTAGACCTCAACCACGATCAACTGTTCTTTTTAAGTTTTGCACAGGTATGTACAGTACACTATATACAGGTACCTCATGGTATTGTCCTTTTTCCTTCCTCCTTCTTCCTGCCTCGGTCCTCCTTCCTCCTTCCTCCTTCCTGACTCGGTCCTCCTTCCTGTCTCCTTCTTCCTTCCTTCCTCCTTCCTCCTTCCTCCTTCCTCCTTCTTCCTGCCTCGGTCCTCCTTCTTCCTTCCTCCCGCCTCCTCCGTCATTCTCTTCTACTTGAGTCTCCTCCATCTCCTTCTTTGGACTTCATTCTTCACCTMCTTCACCTCATATTATTATCTTGTTCCACTTTCTTCTCTCGTGCAGATCTGGTGCAGTGCGTTTAGGCCGAGTGGCGCTATAAATGCTATAGAGAACGGTGTACACAGTCCAGGTCAATTTAGGTAAGATTTTGGCTCGAAGTCAGAACACTGAAATGCAGACTTGGAAACTCCGGGTTCGAGATTTAGCATGATGATGATTGTTGTTATTGTTGTTGTTGTTTTGTTGTTAGTGTTGTTGTTGTTGTTGCTGTTGTTGTTGTTGTTGCTGTTGTTGTTATGTTTTTGTTGTTGGTGCTCCTTCTGTTGTTGTTGTTGTTGTTGCTGTTGTTGTTATTGTAATAGTTGTTGTTATTTTTATTGTTGTTGTTGTTGTTGCTGCTGCTGCTTTTGTTGTTGTTGCTGTTGTTGTTATGTTGTTGTTATTGTTGTTGTTGATCGCTGTTGGAATTTTGTTATGGATCATATTGATATTCCCTAAATTGTTTGTATTTTATTTCAGGGTTATAGGGTCGCTTTCCAACTCCAATGAGTTCGCCGAAGCATACAAATGTAAAAAAGGCAGTAGAATGAACCCCGAAAAGAAATGTAAAGTTTGGTAAAACAACAAGTCAACATCAACCAATCCATTGTATGCATTACTCTGGGGCTATTTTATAGTACCTACATAGGTGCATTAGGTAGAGACAAACTCCATTTTTTACTTTGGTATCGAATACACAAGACTTTAGCTAATGTCTGATTCACACTTTTGCAAGGTTGGTCAAAGCTCGATCAGTGCTGTCCCAGGCCGATTAACGCGGGATTAACACTAATCGAGCTTGAACAATCCACCTTTGATAGYAATTGCAAAACTKCTTTGTAGYATTTTATGGTATCTTTATAATTGGTACAGTAGTTTGTAGAGCGCATGCGCATTGGGACAAAAAATAGGTAGTGTCTTTGCCATGTGGGATAGGCTCAGAAACATTATCACATTGAATGGTAAAAACTACACGCCTCTTCCAGTAGTGAGGGTTTGTGCTACTTCTTGAAATCCTTGAAAAGTCCTGGAATTCAACCTGTTTTCAAGTTCGCTTGAAAAGCCCTTGAAAATGGGGAAAATTGCTAAAACTCCTGGAAAAYTCCTTGAATCTGATGAAATTTATGTGAAAGCATCGACTGTCTTTCTTGGTCATCTATCAAAATGGCGGCGTCTTTTTTGTTTTCAGTTTATTTCTAAATCAATTTTTATCAATTTTCATCGATTATAACCCGAGAATTTCATGGATTTCATGGTGGGTGGTGTGTCTTAGGTTGACTTCAGRTTATTTGTTTTCTTTGCGAATATAGACGTCAATTTGATGAAAGGCAGACCATTTTAAACTTAAATTACAGTAGTTCTTTACCAAGTAGCTTCTCTTCCAATTTGGAAAACCTTTTCTGAGACGGTCTAATATTTCTGACTGTATCAATATATATATATACATAATCGTTAGCTATCGTATATTAGGAAATACATAATCATTTATTATAGTTATTAACTACTGTATACGGCATAATAATCTCCAGCCAGTACTTCATNCAATTGCCAAAAATATGAAAAGATTCATTACATATCGAAGAACTACAGAATCACTTGTAAAACTTAATTTTGGAATCAATATTTATCACCTCCTTAAAGAAATGTGTTGGATGCCAGTTCACCAATTACCGGGAAAGTTTCTGCATTTTGACCATTTGCCGGACACATTCACTAGATCCTGTAGATATTTATAAATCACTTTTGAAATTTTAGAGTATTTAAAAAAATTATAACTTGTTCACTATTTAACTGATTTACACCAAATTTTGGTATTTTGGTATTTCTTTCAATCATTACTTGCCTTTACGGACACCCGCTACAACGGACACCTCGATATTGCAGACAGTAAAATACTGAATCCCTGACGAAAAATACACAAACATGACTGAAAGTATCTCGCGTTACTACGGACTCTCGCTACTGCGGACACTAAATTACAGTCCCGAGGGTGTCCATAATAGCGAGAGTTGACTGTAAGAATTATTTCACCATTATCTAATTAGGGGATTTTGCCCAGTCCCTACTCAGTTTGAAACCTGGCAATAAACACAAGATCAATTTTTTTTACTAGATGACCAAGATGCAGCTGATTTATGGCTTCTAAATAGTTGCACAGTAAAAAGCCCAGCAGAAGATGGCTTTAGAAATGCAATAAAAAAGGCAAAGCAGGACAATAAGCACCTTGTAGTSGCAGGCTGTGTTCCTCAGGGTCAGCCTCGACATGACTCAATCCAAGGTGTCAGTGTTGTTGGGGTAAGAGAATTTATATATTTTACAAATAGATCTCATTTTTCCGTGCGTGTGTACTCTAATAGATACATAGATGACGTCAAAATGTAGTGAGAACAAAAAAGTACGCACGAGACGCAGTCGTGTAGGTGACTGTTGTTCTCACTACATTTTGACGTCATCTGTGTATCTATTAGAGTACACACGCACGGAAAAATGAGATCTATCTGTTTTATACAACAAACAATTAGTTTTGACGTAATCCGTGTATCTATACTTTGATAACACACGAAAGCCAACCAATCAAAACGTCTGATTTTATTGAAAAGTTGTATAATTTACAATAACTACTGACTTCTTTGTCCTTCTCATCTTGTTATCAGATTTTTATTTCCTTTTAAAATTAGTAATAAACAACTGGGACTTTTACAGCAGAAACCGTTGCATCGTGACTTCAATGTTCAAAGGAAATAGTTGGGATTTAGGTTTTTCTGCGACTTGGGGGCGGAGCTTGATACTGATCAGGCAATGATTGAACAAGTTTTCGAAAAGCTCCGCCCCTCAGATTGAAAGAAAGAACAAAATCCAGACAAACTTCAAAACAAAGAGGTCGCGATGCAACGATTTCCGCTGTAAAGTGGGCAAAGCGTTCTGGTAGTCATAGCATATGACGCCATTGTATGAATCACCGTCTAGAGTATTCTTCATTCATTAATGTAATACACAGGCATGTCGGAATTATGCGCGGATGCGGACGCGCATAATTGCCCCCTTTCCGCATAATTTACTAAATCGCGTATAATCCCGCATAATTTGTGTCTTTTTCCCATGTTATACCATTTTTTAAGATGCCTTGCCTTCTACTAATGTTTTTTGTGGTCCATTGACTGTTTTTTTTGATCAAAAAACGCTCCCAAACATGCTTATAATTTTCCGTTTTGTTTTCGTGGGCTTCACAAATGTACCAGGCGTTCAAAATTTCATCAGAAAAGAGTCTGGGCACTAGCATTACTGGTCAGCCTGTGCCTTACTAGATCACGTGACAAATTCCAATATGGCGTATGATACAAGTGAGATGTAAAGCGTGCGAGAACGAAAAAGTCTAAAAAGATCTTTCCTTCTGTCGGTACTGCCTTCTGTACTTCGTAACTAAGATAAAAACGGAGTTTTGCAAGAAAAACAAACACAATAACCTAAATATATTAAAATTTCCCAAATTTTACGTTCCTGTGATGACGTCATCCCGCATAATTTTCCGCATAATTCACCCTTTTCTCCGCATAATATGGGGAAAAAGTCCGCATAATTTTGATTTTTTTCGCGCATAATTCCGACATGCCTGAATACAGCAGTATGCAGAAAGTTTGATCATTTTGACTCACATTCCAAGTATTATAATGTATATCAGAAATTATGGGATATCATCCCCAATATTTTTTTCAAATAGTACTAGTGCTAGACAACT